TTGGGGTAAGGAGCTTGGAGAGATATATAGAATTCCTAACCCTTTACTTGCACGCTCCAAAAAAGTTCTAGAGTTCGGCAATTTCAAGACAAAGGCACAATCTCAAGCCTAATGCTCGGAGATCAGCAATTGTTGTGGGTAAATCTCAGAGACTTCGGGTTCCTACGCGGCTTAAGGGTGTACGGGTTTAGGGGCTTAGGGTTCCTGTAAGGCCCTGAACCCTAAACCCTAAACCCTAAGCCCTGCAAGGCTCTATGCACTTTAGGTAAGGCTGGCGCCTGCTCTGCCCGGCATGGGGAGTCGGTATCCGGAGGGAGGGCCACGTGATGTCGAAGGAGGGCCTCGAGGCGGAAGGCCACACCCGAGATGTTTGGGTAAATGGGTTTAGGGTTTAGGGTTTAGGGTCTAGGGTTTAGGGTTTAGGGTTCAGGGATGGAGCTCATGCCCTATGTGCTCCTACCTCAAGCAAATTCTATTCCCTCAAACAAAGGAACTGGGTACAACAATTGTAATAAGGTACCCTTGTTTGGGTGAGTTACTTTATAAGGGAACATTGAACCAAAAAAGAGGAGAATTGTTGGGTCCGCGTCCCTTGTAGAGGAGAAAGAGGGGCTTCTCTGGGTAAAGCCCTCAATCCTGAACACCGGAAATCCTGAATCCCTAAAACCCTAAACCCTAGGCCCTAAACCCTAAACCCAAGTAGCCCTAAACCCTAAACCCTAAAGCCTAAAGCCTAAACCCTAGACCCTAAACCCGAAACTTTAATAACAAATAACCTAAACCCTAAAACCTAAACCCTAAACCCTAAACCCTAAACCTTAAACCCCCGGGACTCCGGCCTGCCAGGACCCCGACACCAGCGAAGCCTGCGCTCGGCTGCAAGAAGCAAAGCGCCCGACCTGCAAGGCCGAAACCCTGGTAGCCCTAAACCCTAAACCCTAAACCCTAAACCCTAAACCCTAAACCCTAAACCCTAAACCCTAAACCCTAAACCCTAAACCCTAAACCCTAAACCCTAAACCCTAAACCTTGAGAACCCTAACAGCCGGAATGACCCCAACAGCCCGAATATCCCTGCAACCCTGATAACCCTAACAACCCTAAACCCCAACAACGATACTAGAGCCTTAGTAGCCCCAATTTATCCCTAAGAAAATAGCCCCCCCGAGGCTTGGGATTGGTTTGGGTCACAGGCAGGGCTGTGGATGTTAGGATACTTAGGGTTAGCGATCAAAAACACCCACACCCTCCATGACATCGTGTGTGTTGAAAAGGGTTGGTTAGGGTTCAGGGTCGAGGCTTCAGGAACACAAAAGTGAAAACTGCCTTCTCTAAGCTCGATCTTCTTTTAGACCCTCCCTAAACCCGAAACCCCGAAACCCCTAAACCCCTAAACCCCTAAACCCCTAAACCCCTAAACCCCTAAACCCCTAAACCCTAAACCCTAAACCCTTCAACTGTTCAACCCTTCAGCCGTAAACCTAGCCGTGGAAGCTTCTAAGGTACGTGCCTCGCGAATTTCCAGCTGCAAGCACACCTCAGCTGCACTCAGCTTGGGTCAAACCCTAAACCCTAAACCCTAAATCCTAAACCCTAAACCCTAAACCCCAAACCCCAAACCCTGGACCCGATTGGTTAAAGGCTTTTGGGAAGGTTCGAGGATACTAGCCACCCATCAAGGCTCCAATAATGCCCTGCAACACTGTAGAGCCCAGAAGACAACTATATGATTGCATGACTACATGATTCTATGACTGTATGATTCTATGATTGTGTGCTTCTATGTTTGTGTTATCGTGTGATTGTATCACTATACGAATAATATTAGGCTGTGTTTTTCTATGTTAAAATGCTTGTACTATTGAACTCCAAGATGGTACCCTAAATCCTAGGATCACTGGGCAAATTGTTCATATCTGTTGCATTATGAATTGTTGGCTACTTGTATCCGGGATCACCAGGGTATGCTTTGCAGGCGCCTGTATCAGCGGATCGGAATTCTACACGCGATGCAATGCAGCCGCGTTTGGTGCCGTGGGAATATGGGGGTTTCCGACATTAGGGGTACCTTATTGGGGTCCCTATTGTAATGGAATCCTACTATTTGGGGGACTCTTGTAGGGACTTGTACTGTCCCCTTATTTTCGGAAACCACCATATGGGGTTGAGGACCCTCAGCCCTAAACCCAGAAACTCACCCCCCCTCTGCAGAACGCAGGTTCATACTATATAGCCCTAAACAAGACCCCAAGTAGTAGGATTCTCTTACAAGCCCTGTAAACCCTGCAAGCCCTGTAAACCCTACAAGCCCTACAAACCCGATTTGAGATCCTAAACCCTAAGCCCTAAACCCCAAACCCTAAACCACATAGACCCCAAATAGTAGGATTCTCTTACAAGCCCTGCAAATCCCAAACCCGAAGCCCTAAACTCCAAACCCTAAACCCAAATCCCTCAAAAACCCTGCCCGAGGAGGCACCTCTGGCACGCCACACGCCAAGTCGGCTGAAGGTCCCAGGGTCATGGGCCGCCATGTTCCAGATTGAGGGTTTAGGGTTTAGGGTTTAGGGCTTGGGGATCTAAGACCCTTTGTGTTGAAGGGTTTAGGGTTTCGGGCTAGTTGGGGTTTTGGGTTGAATTCGGGTGTTGCTTAAGAGAGGTTGAAGCGCATACTGGGCTTTGCGAGGGCTCTGTGTGCACACTTGGGCATCTCTTCAGCTGAGCTTTCTTCCTCAGAAAGGACAGCCGATGTATCTGCAAGTGATTTTTTCACGCACCCAGCACAACTTCCGGGCCACGAAGAAAGGGGTTCGGTCCCCAAGCAACCCTTTAAGGGACTACACCCCCCTCCAAACTACCTCCCCCCCTAGGTTCTCCATAATTGCGGCTAAGGCTGTTTAGGGATAATTCAGCCTAATTCAGGTTATTTATATACGGGGGGATCCTAGGGGGAGGGGGGGGGGTAGTAGGGGACGAGGATAGGGCCCGAACAGATGGCCTTGACGGCAGGGCCACACACCAAAAAGCACTGCGATCCAAAGGTTTAGACATCCTTCCAGTAGATACAACTCCCCATCGTGGGGTGGAACGTGTAGAAAATTACACCCTAAACCCTAAACCCTGAATCCTAAACCTACTTGTATAAGCACCTCTCAATCTACTTCCAGCCCAAGCACCCAGGTTATAAATACAACTACAAATGCAAAATACATATATATATATATGTAGTATCTATCTATATACATGCACATATGATCTAAATATATATATATATATATACACATGTATGTCTATGTAACTATCTATATATATATAAATTCATTAATTCATTAATTCATTAATTCATTAATTCATTAATTCATTAATTCATTAATTCATTAATTCATTAATTCATTAATTCATTAATTCATTAATTCATTAATTCATTAATTCATTAATTCATTAATTCATTAATTCATTAATTCATAGGTTCATTCATTCATGAATTCATTAATTCATTTAATTAATTAATTAATTCAGTAATTAATGCTTTATTTATTCATTTATTCAGTTCTTCATTTATCTATTTATCTACGCACAAATCCGGCTATGCGCACGGACATACTCTACTACGTATACAACTTCTACCTACCCATTACCCCTCCAGCAAAGCAGCAGCAACATCTTCCTTCTAGAAAACCAAGCCCTGCGCCCTAAGCCCTAAACCCTAGGCCCTAAACCCTAAACCCCAAAAGACATTTCCTGGGAAGGATTTCTACGTCGGGGGGGAAACGAGCAGAACTCGAAGGCCTTAAGCCAGAAGCCGCGCTCACTCCCACTTAGGGTTGAGAGCTTGGGAATGCAGGTTGGGTTTTGGGTTTCGGGTTTCGGGTTTCGGGTTTAGGGTTTAGGGTTTAGGGTTTAGGGTTTGGGGTTTCTCCACTGGCCGGGATTTGAAGGAGTCAGGGCTCGGAGCTCTGATTCTGAAGCCACACTCCGAATGTACTTCAACCCTGAACCCTAACCCGGAAACAGAACCCAGTCATATGTGGTTTAGGGTTTAGGGTTTAGGGTTTAGGGTTTAGGGTTTAGGGTTTAGGGTTTAGGGTTTAGGGTTTAGGGTTCTCTAAATTAAGGTCCCTTTTTGGGATCCCTTTTTCCAGGGTGCCGCCTTGTCATGGGAACCCGAAAAGTGACCCTAACTTAAGAAACAACCCATGTAAGGGCCTGAGTATACTTGGCTGCACTCAGGAGGGTAGCTATAAATTAAACTTTTAGCTGCCTTACTAAGAAACCCCATAAACCCAAAAAAGGTAAGGATCTAAAGTTACAGTAAAGTACCACAAAGTATAGTAAGTAAGTCAGCCGGACCGGCTGCTTTCGCGGAGCTGCATGAAGCAAGCTGCAGATCACGCTGGGCTGCAAGGGCAGAATGTCCTGGTAGTTATCTGGCCTAGGATTTCGGGCTGGGGGTGGGGGAATACTTAAGAGCTTAGGCGCAGGGTTCAGGACGAGGAGTTTGGGCTTCAAGAGCTCAGACGCAGAGAGGGATAATGCAGGGTTAAAGGCATGAACAGTTTGCAGGTCTCCGCCCGCTAGTGGCTTTGTTGAATCCGTGAGGATCTGCTTGGTTCTTCCCTAAACCCTAAACCCTAAACCCTAAACCCTAAACCCTAAACCCTAAACCCTAAACCCTAAACCCTAAACGCCACGAAATGCTGGCGCGGTCGTTTCTGTCTGGGTCATACGGGAGCCTAAATAGGAACACCCTAATGTGCCTTTTGGGATTCTTTGACTTCAAGGCATCACAGGCCTGATCCGCAAAAAAAACTCGCGGAAGCAGCAGCAGCCAGATAGATGAAGGGCAAGTGCCCAGCAAGCAGGGCAAACTTTCTGTAAACAGCAACAGTGACAAAAACTATCAGAAGCGCCCAGAATGCAGCACCACTTGCAAGATCTTGCAAGCTGCATCTTGCAGCAAGCGCGTGGGGCGAGCCTGGGTCGAGGACTTGTGGGATGCCTCAGAGCGTAATCTCCACTCGATCTGCAGGTACTGTCTCCTCAAGGTCCTGCTCCTCGACCTCCAAGTTGTTCCCTGGTCCACAAGAATGCGAGATGGAGTCTGGAACTGGACTCCTCTCAAGCTTCGGCTTCCCCACAAGCCACTCCATGAGGATGACCAGCCCAGCCATGAGGAGCACTTGCCCCAAGAAGGCGCCGGACCAGAGGGAGTATTTGAGATCATGCACAGTAATCAAGAACTTTGGCCAGCTCCAAGCAGCGAGGATTAAGAGCACGAAGAGCCCAATCAAGAAGAATGTTGCCAACTGGCAGAATAGACCTGACAATGTCGAGCAACAAGTTCTGCTGCTGCTGCAAAACCTTCCTGGCGGCATACAAACCAGATGGACACCTAAACCCTAAACCCTCAACCCTAAACCCTATCTCAAGCAACCATCCCCCGATGAGCAACACCTGAACTCGACACTAAACACTGTACCTTAGCTAGACCCGGGAGTAACCAAGGAATAAAAAAGGGCACCCTTTTTGGTTTTAAGGGGATTATAAGGGAACCCCAACCTTAACAAAGGAAAAATGGGCTAGGTAGCTAGCATATCTGAAGCCAACACGCCCCCAAAAGCAAAAACAAACATGACATCTATTCTAAAAACTATACCTCAGCTAAGATGTCTCAAATCATCCCCCAATAAACAAAACCTGAACTCTGCACTAAACACTGTACCTTAGCCAACGTATCGTAAGCCATCACGCCCCAATAAGCAATACAAAACATCTATCCTGAAAACTATACTATACCATAGCTAAAGTATCTCGAGCAATCATCCCCCGAAAAGCAAAACCTGAATTCTATTAGCGATGTAGTTTGTTTGCATTTTGAATCCCAGGAAGTAGCGAAGGGACGTTGGCTTACACTGTTCTTGCGTCCCCGGGGCGCAAGCCCTGCAAAAATAGACGTAAATTTGTGGGATGTAAGGTTTAGGTATTCAAGCCTCATGGTATAGGTGATGCCCAAACCTTAAACCCAAACACTTTAAACCCTATAGGGTCTCATGGTTAAAAAACCGAAGGTCTGGGCATGTATACCTTCAGCGCCCTTTAGGGTTAAAACCTTTGAACTTCTTTGAGCCCTAGAGTTCTTGAGGGTTCTGACCCGAAACGGTTCAGGGTTGAGGTTTAAATGCTCGAACCTTACACCCTTAAGGTTTAAACTCTATGGCCTAATTCCTAAACCCTGAACCCTAAAACCTGAACTCTATAGGGTTTAAAGGTTAGAGTGTAGGTTTAATTGCCGGCTTCGGTTTAAAATGCCTAGATCTTAAACCCTAAACCTGTCAACCTTAACCCTATAGGCCCAAGTCAATCTATGAAGCAACCAAATAATTGGTTACGACATGGGTCTTGCCCAGTCCGCCTGCTAAAGCAGAGACTCAACTCAAGCCTAGCCACGCTACCCTGCGTGATACATAATTCGTACTACCATTTCGGGATTTTCCGTTGTCGCTAAATGCAAAACAAAACAAAAATTGAAGTATGTATCTATACATGCAAATGTGCATATAAATATGTATATATATATACATATATACATATAAATAGAAATCAATATCAATATCAATATAAATGTAAATATAAACATAAATATATATAAATAAATAAATAAATACATAAACATATGTATATATATATATATATATATTTATTTATATTTATATTTATATTTATATTTATATTTATATTTATATTTATATTTATATTTATATTTATATTTATATTTATATTTATATTTATATTTATTTATCGATTTTTCTCCGTCGCCGCTCTGTCCGCTGATGTGGTTCGGCCGCAAAAACTTTGCGTCCTGGTAGAAACCCATTTCGCAAAACCTTTTGCTGGTTTTCGAAGAAAAAAGGTCATGCGACCTGCTTGCGAACCCCTTCCTGCGTGCTGAGATGAAGCAGGAAAGTCAGGAATCGAATCGAAGCAGGAACCGGGAAACCAGCTGTACGGAAACGAGCCGCAAAGAACCGCAAATCTAGACAAACAAACCGAATCGAACCGCACTGCAGACCGACACGAACCGCACCCTGAAACGCTTTAAGCAGATCCGATCCCGAAAGCTCCAAAATCACAAGCCGCATGGCGGCAAGCAAGTGCGATCACCAACCCACACCTCTTTCAGCCCTCAAGACCCTAGGATGACCCCTTAAACCCTCCGAAAATTCTTCCTAAATATGATCCTATTCCACCCAATAAGGGAAAATATGAAATATCCCAAGGGCCTACCTAGAACCGACCGAGCCCTCAGAAGAGACCCTGAAGGTTCAACAGTTTAGGGTTTAGGGTTTAGGGTTTAGGGTTTAGGGTTTAGGGTTTAGGTTCCTTCCGGTTCAACCCTCGCAATCGATTTGTCCTTTGAAGCCTTTACAAAGGACGGTGATACTCCCGGGACACGCTAAGCTCATTAAGGCGTATGTTTTCTTCTAATCGCCGCCCGAAGTGCGCCGCCAATTTTCTTAATGTCGGATGTTCTGTCGTTTCCGTCGTGCTAAGTTGTACAGACGAAGTACATGGATCATTCCCGGAACATGGCATAGATATGGATACTGGGATCTTTGGGCTCAAACTTTGACATTCTTATTGTCCTAACTATACTGAACTTGGAACCACAGCGAAGATTGTAATTTTAGCTGCTTCTGAGGAATTACAGTACCCAAAATCCCAAGAACCCCTAAGTTAACTGACAAGCTTCGAATCAAGAAGGTTGTCACCTCGAGCACGAGGGGTACGACGAGCAGCCACACGATGATGCCCGTGGCCGCGAGATCGAAGCCGATGCCCCAAAAGCTGTATCGAAAAAAAATCGCGGCGATGTCCTAGGCTGGCCCTTAAGACCCTCCAAAAAAAATCCCCCGCTCCTCCTGAACCCATTAAGGGAAAACCCTCAACCCTAAACCCTAAACCTTAAACCCTAAACCGTAAACCCTAAACCCCACCGAGAGCCATAAGGCCCCACAGCAACGGCGCGCCGACTTGCAAGGCCCAGCTCCTGGTGAAGACACCTTCTCGCAACTCCCGCGCAACCACATCGACCACCTTATAGGGTTCTTAAGGGAGGGGGCTTCAAGGGAGGTACATAACCTAAGGTTCCCTTATACTCCCAACTACCTGAAGACCGCCATAGCCACCTCCTCATTGATGATGTCCTCAAATGCTGCGACGCTGCCAAACCAAGCTACCACGCATCGCTTCACCACCTCCCTGTCGCACACAATTTGCTGACCCCGCTTGTTCACATGGTTCTGCTGGCAGCACGAGCAGGCGACCTCGTCAAAGTTGCCGGATCGGAGCTTCTCCACGAAGGTATGGACCGAGTGAAAATACCGTCGAAGATAGACAAACGCCACAACAAACGCTGCTGAAAAACACGCCACAAAACCCGCCAATGGCAGCAGTGTCGCGGCTGCCCAAAAACGAGCATCAGGAGAAGCAAGCACCGGAAACGTAAGCACGCCCAACATGCCCGCGGAAACAGTTGTGAACACGGTGATTGAGCACGGGCCAACCAAGGTGGGTCTCACGATCAGCACTTGTTCGCTTTTGGCCTTCTTGCATTTCAAAAATGCCGCCAACTCAAACAAGCACCAGAGCCTAGGCCCAGGAGCAACCTAGGAATAAAAAGGGTGCCCTATTTGGGGGGAACCTAAACCCTCAAAAAAGCGGAATAAGGGCCCTTCTGTGGGTCCTAGGAGCCGGGTGCTCCAGCTCTGGTCCCAAAGAACCAACATCTGCTTCGAATTCTTCAGCATCCCAGCAAGGCTTCGAATAGCTTTTGCCTTGAGATCGGGGTCGTCCTCGCTGATGCAAACTCGATCGAAGAACACTCGCTGTTGTGGACGCCACTGGACAAGAACGATTGCGTAAACGAGCAGGCCAGCACAAAGACTCCAGACAGAGGATTCAGCGTCAGGAATTCCCGGTGTCCTGTTGAAGCCAGGCAAGACCTCCAAGCTAAACAACACCATCATCACGGCGGCAGCCAACGTCCCGAGCACAGCAGCGGGCAAACCATTGTAGAGCACGAAGAGTGTGAGCACCTTCGCCCACGAGTTGCCATGCCATGAATGAGACCAAAACCTCTCGATCTCTTGGCTTCTCTTGCTCTTGTGAAACAGTTTCTCCTCAGTATCGCGGAAGGCCTTTCCGAACCTGCACAGGGCCATGTGTGCAGGGGTCACACGCAACACCTCAGGGCTGGCGATCTGCATCTTTGCGACATAGTCAGCCATCCTTGGTAGCCCAGTCACTACATTAAATAAGGGCGCCCTTTTCTGGGTTGGTTACTGTATAAGGGAACCTTGAAGCAAAAATATGGAAAAGCGTACTGCTGGGCTATTTTGAGCCCCACACCCTAAACCCTAAACCCTAAAACCCAAACCAAAACCCTGAACCCTAGGCTACCAAGAATCCGCAGCTCCTTTCTCTGCTCGGCGGTGGCTTCCTGGGACTCCGCGCTCAAGCTTGCCGCGCTCAAGCTTGCCGCGTTGCTGGGGCTGGAGGGCGCCATGGCGGCGGTTTAGGGCTTAGGGTTTAGGGTTCAGGGTTTAGGGTTTATGGCAGAGAAGTTGGCCCCACGACGAATCGACAATTCTAAGTGTAAGGAGGTGAAGAGGCTGACATACTGTATGTGGCAAGGACCCTGGTCTGCTCGACGTCTGAGGCTCATGATTCCCTCAGCACAAAACATTGCAGATGTCTCAACGCATGTGCAGGCTGAGACTATAGGGGCCGGAATAATAAGAATAGGGTTTTGGGGGGTCTTATAGTAAAATTACATAGGGGCCATGAGGGAATACTGTTAGTAATTATTCAAAGCCCTAGATTATGTGAGAGGTTTCGGGTTTAGCCCTAAACCCATAACCCTAAACCCTAAACCCTAAACCCTGAACCCCAAACCTTAAACCCTAAACCTAAACCCTAAACCCTAGACCCTAAACCCGAAACCCGAAACCCTAAACCCTAAACCCCACGAAATGCTGGCGCTGTCGTTTGTGTCTGGGTCATACGGGAGCCTAAATAGGAACCCCCCTACTGCTCCTTTTGGAATTCGTACATAAACTGCCCGAAGTACTCGTTCGTATTGGGGGTTTACGAAAATAGGGGTACCTTATCGGAGCCCTTATTATAAGAGAATCCTACTATTTGTGATCTCTATTAGGGGCCCCCTATTTTCGTAAACCCCCTCTTGAGTACGTAGCCGACAACCCTAAACCCTAACTCCCCTGGTGAGAGTTGTGAACTCGGAAGCTTCCTAAGTATGAAAGGCCAACAATAATATTGAAACCCACATCCTTAGCCAGCGAGGTCTTCTTAGGCTTATGGGTTTGGGCTTCAGTAAAAAAACTGAAGGTTCGCCGGCAGAGAGAGTAAGTTTTTCAGGGCCGTCGATTCTTGCATATTCTCGTACAAGGCTGGTTGTTGACCCCTATGCTCCCATGCCTGAGCAGCCTACGGCACCTAACCCAATGATAAGTGAATACGGCCCCCTCCCCCACCCAACCAACTCTCGACAAGCGCTAATGCACAAGCCTAAACCCTAAACCCGAAACCTTAAACCCTAAACCCTGAACCCTAAACCCTAAACCCGAAACCTTAAACCCTAAACCCTAAACCCTAAACCCTATACCCTGCGCCGGCCGTCATGGCTTGAGCCAGGGTTCCCCGGCACGTCCTTGTGCATCTGCTCGTGCAGATGCAGTATACTATGCCTTGCTAGTCTTTGACTTCAAGGCATCACTGGCATCATAGATCTTATGACTTCCGGCCGGGTCTTAAACCAGGCCTGATCTGCAAAAGACACTCGCGGAAGCAGCAGGGAGACATTCCAGGATGGGCTATTCGGCCTTATACTCCCCATAATCAACCCTATAAAGGGCCTTGTCGAGGGGTTATGGGGTCTAATGGCCCATCTTGGTTGATCATCCGCAGCGCGACGGTGAAGCAGCCAAATAGATGAAGGGCAAGTGCCCAGCAAGCAGGGCGAACTTTCTGTAAACAGCAACAGTGACAAAAACTATAAGAAGTGCCCAGAACGCAGCACCACTTGCAAGATCTTGCAAGGGGCATCTTGCAGCAAGCGCGTGGGGCGAGCCTAGGTCGAGGACTTGTGGGATGCCTCAGAGCGTAATCTCCACCCGATCTGCAGGTACTGTCTCCTCAAGGTCCTGCTCCTCGATTTCCAAGTCGTTCCCTGGTCCACAAGAATGCGAGATGGAGTCTAGAACTGGACGCCTCTCAAGCTTCGACTTTCCCACAAGCCACTCCATGAGGATGACCAGCCCAGCCATGAGGAGCACTTGCCCCAAGAAGGCGCAGGACCAGAGGCCTATTACGAGATCAGGATCACCTACGAGATCATCATCGATCAGGAACTTTGGCCAGGCCCAAGCAGCGAGGATTATGAGCACGAAGAGCCCAATCAAGAAAAATGTTGCCAGCTGGCAGAATAGACCCGACATTGTCGAGCAACAAGTTCTGCTGCTGCTGCAAAACCTTCCTGGCGGCATACAATATGGGCACTGGTTGATGCAAGAACATTGCGACTATTCCAGAATTCTGCACAATGTATGACATGAGGGGCAGAGGTCAACGAAAGCGGGCTCAGATTTGCGCTACTATGGAGCAGATTGGCCAAAATCAGCTAGAACGCCCACCGATCGTTGCGTCAACTTCTTTCTCACCTTCCTCCCCGCAACACTCCAAAAAACCCAAAGTTCAAGGACTGAAATGCTGCAAAACCTCGAGGAGGCACCAAAATAACCAAAACAAACCAAGATTCTGAGACCCGCAGCACCCGATCAAAGATAGTTTCCAAGTCTTTGTTGTTTTTTAGTTTTTGGTACGTCCTCGAAGTTTTACAGCGTTTTGCTGCCATTTCTCGAGGAGGTACGAAAACACCAAAGTTCAAGGACTGATTTGCTGCAAAACCTCGAGGGGGTACAAACATAGATTCTAAGACCCACAGTTCCCGATCGAAAATCGTCTCTAAGTCTTTGTTTTCTTGGTGTTTCTTTTTGGTACCTCCTCGAGGTTTTGCAACATTTCAGTCTTTGAACTTTGGGGTATTTTGGTACCTCCTCGAGGTGTTGCAGTGTTTTGCCGCCATTTGTCGGGGAGGCACCAAAACAAGCAAAGTTCAAGGACTGAAATGCCACAAAAAAAGGAAAAACCTCGAGGGGGTACCAAAAAAGATCTTAGAATCTTTGGTTTGCTGGATTTGTTGGTCCCTCTCTTAGTGTTGCTGTATCTTAAGCAATCAACCCCAAAAACTACACCTTAGCGAACATATCTCGCGCAATCACGCCCGAATAAGCAAGACATGACATCTATCCTAAACACCACACCTTAGCTAAGATATCTCAAGCAACCATCCCCCGGCAAGCAACACCTGACCTCGACACTAAACACTGTACCTGAGCTATCATACCTTAAGCAAACACGCCCCAAAAAGCAATAACAGACATGACATCTATTAGACATCTAGAAACTAGCAAGGTGGAGCAAATTACCTGCGTACAGATCGAGTTCTCTCCGCGGCTGCTCCGTCTTGCCAATGTGGTTCGGTCGCAAAAAACTTTTCCGTTCTGGTAGAAACCCAATGGTCGGAATGCAAAACCTTTTGCTGGTTTTCGAAGACAAAAGGCTCATGGGACCTGCTTGCGAACCCCTTCCTGCGTGCTGAGATGAAGCAGGAAAGTCAGGAATCGAATCGAAACAGGAACCGGGAAACCAACTGTACGCAAACGAGCTTTAAGCAGATCCGACCCCGAAAACTCCAAAGTCACAAGCCGCATGGCGGCACGCAGGTGCGATCACTAACCCATCACAACCCTAATTCCTAAACCTAAACCCAAAACCCTAAACCCTAAACCCGAAACCCTAAACCCTAAACACCTCTGTCAGCCGTCAAAACCGATCGAGCCTTCAGAAGAGACCCTGAAGGTTTAACGGGTCCAACGGTTTTGTGGTCCCAGGGTTTAGGGTTTAGGGTTTAGGGCTTAGAACCTGGTTCCTTCCAGTTCAACCCCTGCAATCGATTTGTCCTTTGAAGCCTTCACAAAGGAGGGTGATAAATCCCGGGACACGCTGAGCTTATTAAGGCTGATATTTTCTTCTAATCGTTGTCCGACGTGCGCCGCCAACTTTCTTAATGTCAGATGTTCTGTCGTTTCCGCCGTACTAATTCTACAGACGAAGTGCGCGGCGGGATCTTTGGGCTCAAGCTTTGACATACTTTTTGTCTTGACTATACTGAACTTGGAACCGCAGCAAAAACTATAATTTTAGCTGCTTCTTAGGAATTACAATACCAACAAATTAAATTTACTCCCAAGAATCCCTCAGTTAACTGACAAGCTTCGAATCAAGAAGGTTGTCAGCTCGAGCACGAGGGGGACGACGAGCACCCAGACGATGATGCCCGTGGCCGCGAAATCGAAGCTGATGCCCCAATGTCTATATCGAAAAAAGATCGCGGCGATGTCCTAGGCTGGCCCTTAAGACGCTCAAAAACATACTCCTGAGCGTGATCCTCCTGAACCCAATAAGGGAAAACCCTAAACCCTAAACCCTAAACCCTAAACCCTACACCCTAGGTTTAAGGGCCCACCGAGGGTCCATACAGCCCCACAGCAACGGCGCGCCGACTTGCAAGGCCCAGCTCCTGGTGAAGACACCTTGTCGCAACTCCCGCGCAACCACGTCGACCACCTTATAGGGTTGAAGAGCCGCGTGAGCGGACCCTTCAGGCTGTAATGCAGTGCGTCTTTCCCTTAACAAGGAATCCATGGCAAGCACTACGCTCAGAGGGTCTCCTTTCACACAGCAACAAAGAAGATCTTGTTCCAGTTAGGAGTTGCTACTATGCTACTTCCTATGATAATGCCTGAAGTGTTGCATACAACCTTGGGCCTTGGGCCTAAAGCAGCAACAAAGGAAAACAACATAGCTGCATGCTACAGGCTTTACTGACCTACAACATACAAGCGCGGAGAAGGGTAGTCTCTACACTCCTCCTTGCATCCACCGATACGAGGGCAGATGCACAAACTGTTAAAAACACTTCTACGGCAGGCTCACAACATCCTACCGTACTACCCTTCCGGGCGGAGATGCAAGGAAATGCAGTTACTTGGAATCCTGGGTTTCTTAGAAGTAGTTAAGATAGTTGTGTGGAGTTATACCCTAATTACTAAGCGGTTATAAGTAAGTGCTAACAGTGTGTTAAGTGTTTATAAGCATGGATAAGACTTATAACTTTTGTGTCATGTTAGTAATGTTACGATCTTCTTAGCTATCTAACATAACTAAGTTAACTATTTATAAAAGTTAGGGTGAGTTAGATGGAGTTATCGACATGGACATATATATTTCTACAATAGGAGAATGAGACATGTCAAAGCTATTTTGCCATGACAATTATCATTTTGGCGACTGATGATCCATGGAACTGAAGGTCCATGCAACGGAGCGAAGGGCATCATTTTTGTTTTTTAACATTTCTTTTCAGAAACATATTGCATATTTCGGAAGAAAGCTATAGGCAGAACGAGTTATACATTTCTGAATATTGTAACTTTTTTTTGATTTCTCATATGATTGTTTGATATGTGATGTCACCATATACATGTGAATACGAGAGCCGCATGGCCATGCCACCGTGCCCATGTCATGCTTTTGCTAGGGTTTTCAAGCAGCCATCTGGCCCTGCCTTCGACATCCCAGATACCTGCCCAGATTTGCCAGCCGTGCAGCGATGGCGGAGATTTCCCATGTCGTCGCCATCCGTTACGGCCAGGAAAGCAAGGTGTTGATCCCAGAGGAGCTGCTCCACCACAAGAACAACAAGTCATATGTCCAACTGCGGCCAACATCCCATCCCATCGTCCAGTTGCTGACAGGGCGACGAGGCCAGGTCAATGCCAGTCTTTCCAACTCGGGTGCCATGCAGAGCTTGGTCAAGAAAAGAAATGCCGAGTTTGACAAGCCGCCAGCTGATGGACCAGAGCAATTGTTCGAGGATGCCCCTAGCTCCAAGGCATCCAAGAAACGGGGGCCAGCCAGACCAAGTGGCGAGGATGTTGCCATCCAGGTGAGAGAGACCACCGTCCATTGCTTGATGCAGGGGAAGCGCCCCAGGGCCTCAGCCTTGACGGTGGAGTTGGAGGCCAACCAGCTGACGGCCATCATCGAAACCGTTCGTGAGGAAGACCTAGACCATGTACTCGGCCAAGCCAAGCGAAGCTACAAGAAGAAGCAGAGCCAGTAGCCAGTCTCAGGCCATGAGTATAGAAGGAGTTTTGATGATGTGACGGCCCTGGGAAGGAAAAACTGTGACAGTGCATGCTTGCAGGCTTGCTGTTGTTGAGTGTACACATGCCTGCATCGTCCCATTTATTTCCGCCAGAGCATGAGTTGCAACCGCTCAGCCCTTCTGGCTTTCCACACCAGGCTTCCAGAAGCACACTTTGCATCAGAGTCTCTTATAAGTATGCATGCAGTGCAGCAACTGCAGTTTCAAGCAGGCCTTAAATCCATCCCAGCACTGCAGTCAGGGCAGCAGTCCAGGATAGGAACCAGTGCTGTATCAGTTCGAAGCCATGGCTGTCCCTCCAGCTGTGATCCAAGAGGTCGAATCCATAGTGAATGGTGCGGAGCCAGTGAACACCAGGGTGACCAAGGTCTTGAAGGTGCTGGAAAGCCATGGGCTTTGCCAGACACAGTGCTTGCAGCCCAAGCAGGTGCTTTGCCACCCCTCCAACAGAGGAGGTCAGATGGTGAGCCATTTTGATGTTTGGGCCAAGGGGCACCAGTTGCTTGCCGTTGGACTGCAAGTCCAGCTGTTGGAAAACTCCATCTGCGTCCAGCTCGCCACAGATCCGCAGAAGCGCCAGCAGCAGGTGTGGAAAAACCAGCAGCTTGTCCAGGAAGCCGGAGGCTCCCTGGCACCAGTGAGTGGTCAGGAGGGCCACTCGGAGCTATATGATATTTGTTTTTTGGTGTGTTTGTGCTTAGAGCAAGGTTTTAAGTGAATAAGTTCAGTTATTTCATTCCGTGCTTGCCATGCAGCAAGACTGAGGCTTTCTGAGCCTAGCCTCCAGCCACACCACGGCATTTCTCAGATGCCTCGAGCATGGCTGCCAAGATGCCAATGGCAAAGCCATCAGCGTGCCCAGAACGGATCCAGTTTGGGAAGCCATCCAAAAGGGCTGGAAGTGGCACGTTGTTGCCTCCTCGGTGGAGGAAGCCATGCCAAGCTTGCCACAGTTCTTCCAGGTCGGTGCCAACAGTGGCAACGCCATTGGCAGGGCCACCAGCGAGCTGGAGGCAGCCTGCCAGATCGCAGCCCAACTCCAGCTGGGATCCACTTTGGAGGCCGCCATCAAGCAGGTGGCAAGCGGGGAGGTGGCCTGCAGAGCCAGTTTGGCCAGTATAGGCCATTATGTGTCGAGGTATGGCGGGGGCCCAGGGGCGCCGCTGCTCCGATTCCTCTCCCAATTCGGGTCCATGTTCGGTGCGACACTCATGTTAGGCACAGACTTTACCGACACTCTTGCCAACATGACTTTTCCAGAGGCGACCAACCTCTTTCCGCTGACCCGCACGGCCGTCTGGGCGAGCCAATTGACTTCCCAGAAAAGCAATGATGGGTTTGCAAGGTTGTTGGTGAGGTCGGACTTGCAAAAACTTTCCACGCCATCCATCCTGGACCAAGTGAAGGCCGGGGAGTCCATGCTGGCGGACTGCTGGCACCTTATCCAGTCCCAGCTGCCCGCCGCCACTGCTGAGAACCACAAGAAGACCCTCCATCTGTACAGGTGCTTTGGCAAGCTCTGTGTGAGGACCATCCTCTTCATCGTGAAGAAGCAGAAGCATGCCCCAGACCAGGTGTGCTTCGACACCTTGCCAGAGATCCTGGACAAGTTCACACAGGAGGTGTCGGGTGTGCCCACTCCAAGCCAGGCGGCCTCCAGTCAGGCAGGCCAGGTTGAGGATGCGGTGAAGGCCCAGCCGTACCAGGCCATGCTGCTGCAGAACAGCCACATCAAGGTGGGCGAGCTGTGTCTTAGTTGCAAGTCTTCTGCTTGTGCATTCCGCTTGGTGTTTTAAATCTTGTTGCCATTTGGGAGCCAAGGTTCTGCCTTCCCAAAGAGCATGGGTCCAAGGTCTTCGAGCTCTTGGAGGTGACCAACGACGGGGCCACCATGCAGCATCGTCCCATTCTGTTGCCAGTACAGAATGTGCAAGTTGCCTTGGGCGACTTGAAGAAGTGGAGGGTGTCCAAGCAGCGGATGCCTTTCCTGGCAGAAGAGGCCATGGTGGCCAAGGCTTTCCCCACAGAGCATGCCATGGCTGTGGAAGAGTTCCAGAAAGCCCAAGTGGTCTGTGCCTTGCACGAAGCTTACCAGAAGCACTCCTGCCAGGACCAGGAGCTGCTCGGCTTCGCTTGCAGCCCCCAGGCACTGTTTGCCAGGCAGACCCTCCAGCCTAAGAAGCTCAAGCTGCTTCCCATAGGCCCTGTCTCCAAGGTCAAAGAGCCGGGGAAGGCCAGGTTGGTCGTCCATGCGTTCGGAGAGAAATGGTCCATTGGCAGCTGGAAACAAGATGTGGACCAGCATGGGGTGGCGGTCCCGTGGTTCTGGTGCAAGCCAGTAGATGCTCCACTTGCCAACATGCAGTGGACCACTGTGAAGCAGGGACCAGCCACCATTCCCATGCTTCAGAACCACGTCCGCATTCCAGGCAAAAGCATGATTTTGTGCGAGAACCAGCTCGAGGAGCCAGCAGAATCGGCCAAGAAGAAAGCCAAGACCAAGTGAGTGGTGCATTTCCAGAGCAGCCACTGCAGCCAGAGCATTGAGGGCCACTGAGCCGGAGCCATCTTTGCACGGGAGCTGCAAGAGGAGTTTTGATGGCTCAAGTTTTGCCAGGCAGGAAAAACTGGAGCTCTGCAGGGTTGCACTCCAGGATTTGGGTTAAGGACCCACATGCAGCTGCCTGCAGCTCAATGGCTATGCCACATTGTCGGACTCCTGCCATGTTTCTCTCGTCTTTGTAGCATGCCACGGCGCCCGACAACCTGCAGTTTTTCAGCCCAAGCCAGTTGGCAAGACACTCCAAGCCACTTGGCCAGCAACTTCCAAGCCACTGCCATGGCCAACCAGCAGGACGTTGTTTTGCTTCTTTCTGTATACTTATGCATTACAAATCTGCATGTCTTTGCCAGGAGCAGACCCCAGCCATGGAGGAGGTGGCCGTGACGGGTGCCACAGAGGCCACAGAGGTCCAGGCCACAGTCCAGGGGGAGGTGAGCACTACGGCTCTGCCTGCCCAAGTGGGTGGGATCGTGGGCCCCATCTCCTTCCACTTGAGCAACCAGTTCATGTAATCCAGACTTCAGCCTCCCTGACCCGCTCTACCACTGGGCCATTCGCTGCATGTTCTGCACCCCGGCTTCCTGCCAACTTCAGGATGGGCCACATGGATGAGTTCCATGCCGGCGGCTTTGTTTATCCCAAGAGGCTTGCCAGGGAACGTGATCCAGCCCGAAAAGACTTTCATCCAGAATGTTATGTTGCCCTTGTCTCGGAGACTACCAAAGGTGACCCTACAGAAAGGTGACCTTTGCAGGGCCTGTGCCTGTGCCATGTTGTATGGTATGTAATGAATATGTTTGGAAGAATGTGTGTGTGTGTGTGTGCAAAACTTCAAATTTAGATGTTTTGCTACAAGTAGTGCCAACAAATCAAAAATAGTTTTGAACCAAGAACTGCCAGCCAAACAACATTTTGCTCCAAGTGGTGCCCACAATTAACATATTTTGAGCCAAGAACAAGCCTTTAGGAGTCTGGGGGTTGGGAGTTTGGGGTAATAACCGAACCTGCCGCCGGCCGAACCTGGAGCTGAAGCGTCGTCTGGTCCTGCCGGACGGGGGGGGAGGGATAGGGAGGGGCTTAGGACTTAGGTTATAGGACTTAGGGCGTGGGACTTAGGAATTAAGGTAAATTTAGGGTTCGGGGTTTAGAGTGCAGGGGTTCCAGACCCTGAACTCATAAACCCTAAATTCCTCGGTGTGGGGCTTGACTCAGGGTTTAGGGTTTAGGGGTAGGGATCATGGCGTTGTTGGGCTTCTAGGGTTGAAGGCTATAGGGTTTAGGCTCCAGAAGCGAGACCTTAGACTTCTAAGCCCAAAGCCTAAATTCCTCGAAGCCTAAACCCAAAATTCCTCGACCGCCCTGAACTTGAACGCCCTCAACCCCTCAGCCCGAATACGATCCTTTTCTACCCAGTAAGTGAACAATATAATTCCCCAAGGGCCTACCTGGTACCTAGAAGCTCATTGGCTAAGGTCTTGGTGAAACCCACCGCCATGGGTCGCATCGCCCCAGCTGACAACGGATCCATCTCGCAGGATGGCAGCAAAAGCCATGTGAGAGGCTGCAATCTGTCGGACGTTCTTCAAGAGGCTCTGTACAGCAGCACTGTCACCACCGGCCTGTGGTGCTCCCCAAGTCAGCACCCGGCCATGTCGAGCAGCGCTGCAAAAGCAACATAATTTGCCTGGATTGCTTGCACGCCCTGCAGTGGTTCCACCGGTGTGGTAGCTCCAAAGGCCCTGTCACCTCCATAGCGCACATCACCCCAGGCCACAATGGAGCCACCTTCCGTGATAGCTGCAAAAGCTCTGTCGGTTGCTTGGATCTGCGACACACGTCTCAGTTGGCTTTGCACATGGATGCAGGTGCCGCCTGTTACTGGATTGCCCCAGGTCACAACAGAGCCGTCTGCCAAGATAGCAGCAAAAGCACCTTTGGTGGCTTGGATCTGCTGCGCGTCCACCAGCTGAGCACGCACGTCATTGCAGTTGCCACCCCCAAGATCACCACCCCAGTCACCACAGAGCCATCCTGCCGAACAGCTGCGAAGGCGGTTCCTGTGGCACTGATAGCCCTCACGTCATGTAGTTGGTCTTGAACTGCACTGCCTAGGATTGAGGGCGCAGGGTCCGGGGACCTCACACACTCCACACACCCCACACCCCAAAATGGGAGGGACCAAGTCCTGACCCCTAAATTTTGAAGAACCCTAAATCCCACTACCACACACATTGGGGGGTACCATGGGGGTGGGGGAGCAGCAACAGCCCATTCCTGCTAGGCTTAGGGCTTAAGACGTGGGATTCAGCTTTAAGGCTTCTTGTTTAGGATGCAGGGCTGAGGGTGTGCAGGGCTCCCTTCTTCGCCCTTTCCTCTCCCCCAACCCGCGTCATCTACCCGACGGCCCGATGCGCGCCCGTCGGGTACCCGACGCGAGCACCTCCCATCCCCCCCACACACACACATTGCTTCCCATCCTGGGTTTCCGCCCTCACAAAAATTTCTTGACATTTTTCAATGTCCCAGACAAGCCAGACACTTAATGTACCCCCTAACCCTATACAAGCCGGCCGTGAATCAAAGCGGGCAGAGGCCAAACCCTAACCCCTAAATCCAAACCCACCACTAACGAAATTTAAGGCATACACTTGCCCGGAACCCAACCTTGAACCAGAAGCTATGCTACGTTCTGGGTTTTGGTTGTCGGGGCTTGGGGTTTTGAGGCTTTGCGGTCTTTTAATGAAGGCCAAATCAAAATTGACATTCTCCGTCCAAACAAAGTTGTATTTGTGTCAAATGATAACAAAAAACCAACGAATCCAAATTGACAGAATTGTCTTACATACAATACAGTATTTTGGGAGGGGCGCCCCTGGGAAAACAGACACATATCCGTCGGGTACCCGACGCGTGCCGGGGGGAGAGGGGTGTACTCGACGGGTGTTCTGGGGGTGGGCAGGGGGCGATAATGTTTCAAGGCGCCCCTCTTAGGGCTATACCGCCCATAACCTTAACAACAACCCAAAGGCTACACAGCCCCTCGCGATGGCTATACTGAAGCTGAAGAAGGTCAGACTGAACCCCCATCCCCCAAACCCAGAAACCCACTGTGGCCCGGCATGAGGGACGCGGGCCACCACGGTGTTTTGGGTCATCAGGAGGGGATCAATACTCAGGTTTTGGAGCTTCAATGCAGGGGTAATCAGTGGGTTGAGTTTGTTTCTTGAGTGAAATCGAAAAAGATCTTGTTGGCAGCACTTGAAACAGTAAAGTTGAACGCAAGAGCTGAGTTTACCATTGAATTGAAAACAGAAAGCATGTTTTTGGCGCCACTTCAAATTAAGTTGGCTGAGTTTACGCAATTTCCAAAAACTTCTCACCCGATAAATTGCAAGACGTTCGCAACAAAAAATGAGAGTGAAAGAGTTCTTTAAAAACCAGAGACTTTGTCCTAGACTCTAGACTTGGGGGGGAGGGGCAAAGGTCACCGAAAATCCTAAACACTGTAAGCCGCCAACGCTCAACCCGAAACCCCTTAAAACACAAAACCCCGAAGCCCTAAACCTGAAACCGCAAACGCTCTAAGACCCTAAATTAAGCTCAAAGCCCCACCGCCAGACCACAGCAGGGGGGAGGGGAGGGGGATAGCACCCTAAATCCTCAGCCCAAACTCTTAAACCAGAATATCCTCGAACCCAAAGTGCTATTCAGGCCGCAAAGCCTTCGGCCCTAAAACCTCAATTGAACTCTAGACCCTAAAGCCCTGATTGAACCCTTAAACCCTAAACCCGAAATCCCACTGGCACACCACGGAGGAAAGGGAGCAGCAACAGCCCATTCCTATTGGGCTTAGCGTTTAGGAGTTGGGCTTCGGCGGTCTCCCTCCCCACATGCGTCGGATACCCGATGCGACCCGTCGCTCCCTCCCTCCTCCCCCCTCCCCCCTCACACACACTTCTTGGGTTTCCACCCTGAGGCCTTAAGTTAAGCCTAATTAAACCTGAACCCCAATCCCCGCCACCACACCACGGGGGTGGTAGGGACCAAACTCCTGACCCCTAAAATTTTGCAGGTCTAATCCTCAAGCCAAGCGCTTGTTAAACCCTATGCCCTGAAACTCCAAGTGAACTCTAGACCCCAAGCCCTGATTGAACCCTGAACCCCTAAACCCTACATCCCACTACCACACACAACGGGGCGGAGGGGGGGGAGCAGCAACAGCCATTCCTGTGAGGGTGTGCAGGGTTCCCTTCTTCGCCCTTTCCGCTCCCCCAACCCGCGTCAGCTACCCGACGGGCCCGATGTGCGCCCGTCGGGTACCCGACGCGGGCACCTCCCCTGCCCCCCACACACACATTGCTTCTTTTCAATGTCCCAGACAAGCCAGACACTTAATGTAATTACCCACTAACCCTAAATAAGCCGGCCATGAATCAAAGCGGGCAGAGGCCAAACCCTAACCCCTAAATCCAAACCCACCACTAACGAAATTTAAGGCATACACTTGCCCGGAACCCAACCTTGAACCAGAAGCTATGCTGTTTATATGTGGGTGATAAAATGTTCTGGGTTTTGGTTGTCGGGGCTTGGGGTTTGCAGGGTTTGCGGGCCGTTAATGAAAACCAAATCAAAATTGACATTCTCCGTCCGAACAAATCTGTATTTGTATCAAATGATAGCAAAAAAGGCCAACGAATCCAAATTGACAGAATTGTCTTACAAGAGGGGGCCCGTCGGAAAACAGACACATATCATATCCATCGGGTACCCGACGCGTGCCGGGGGGGGGAGGGGTGTACTCGAGGGGTGGTTTGGGTATCCTGGAACCCAAAGTGCTAATTTAGGCCGCAACGCCTTACGCCCTAAAGCCCCAATAGAACTCTAGACCCTAAGGCCCTGAT